CTTCTTTATGTGGCTGCTTCATAGTGTCACTAGTATGTGTACCTCAGTGTGCTTTTGTAGTGGCTGGTAACAGTTTTTTCCTTTCCATGTTTAGTCCTTCCTTCAGGAGCTCTAAAGGCAAGCTTGGTGGTGATGAATTCCCTCAGCATTTGTTTGTCTGAAAAGGATCACTTATATGTCCTTCACTTATGAAGTTTAGTTTTGCAGAATATGGAAATTCTTTAAGAATGTTGATTATTGGCCCCCAATCTCTTCAGGCTTGTAGGGTTTCCACTGAGAGGTCCACTGTTAGTCTGATGGGCTTCCCTTTATTGGGTGACCTAGCCATTCTGTCTGGTTGCCCTGAACATTTTTTCTTTCATTGCAACTTTGGAGACTCTGATGATTATGCGTCTCGAGGTTGATCTCATGGAGTATCTTCCTGGGGTTCTTTAGATTTCCCGAATTTGAATGTTTGCCTGTTTGCTCAGTTGGGGAAGTTCTACTGGATGATATTCTGAAGTATGTTTTCCAACTTGATTCCATTCTTCCTGTCTCTTTCAGGTATCCCAGTGAGTCACAGGTTTACTCTTTTTGTATAATCCCATATTTCTTGGAGATTTTATTCATTCCTTTTCATTCTTTTCTCTCTAATCTCATCTGCCTGTCTTATTTCATTTGAAAGACAGTTTTCAAGATCTGAGATTCTTTCTTCTGCTGAGTCTATTCTGCTACTAATGTTTGTGATTGCATTTTGAAGCTCTTGTAGTGTGATTTTCAGCTCTATCAGGTTAGTTATGTTCCTCTCTCAATCAGCTATTTTGTCTGTCAGCTTCTATATTGTTCTATCATGATTCTTAGCTTCCTTGCATTGGGTTAAATGTGGTCCTTCGGCTCAGCAAAGTTTGTTTTTATCCACATTCTAAAGCCCACTTCTGTCATTACAGCCATCTCAGCATCAGCTCAGTTCTGAACCCTTGCTGGAGAGATGATGTGGCCATTTGGAGGAAAGAGGGCACTCTAGCTTTTTGAGTTTTTAGCATTCTTCACTGTTTCTTTCCCATCTTTGTGGGCTTACCTACCTTTGATCTTTGATATTGTTGGCCTTTAGATGGAGTTTTTGTTGTTGTCTGTTTCTCTTTTAAGAGTCTGGGTACTCTTCGATAGGGCTGCTGCAGTTTGCTGGGGGTCTGCTCCAAACCCTAGTTGCCTCAATTCTCTCAAAACCAGGAGGTATCACCAGTGAAGGCCACAAAACAGCAAAGAGGTCAGCTTGCCCCTTCCTCTGGAAGCTCTGTTCTAGTGGGGTACTGACTTATTCCAGCCCAAATCTGCCTGTAAGAAATGGCTTGATACCGATTCGGTGGTCTCACTCAGTTAGGAGGAACAGGATCAGGGACCTGCTTCAAGAAGCAGCCTGGTTGTGTTTTGGAAGAGCAGCCATGCTGTGTTGGGGACTGCTTCAGCTCCCAGTCGGTTTGGGCTCTCCAAGGCCTGCAGGCTGGCCCAGCTGGGATGCACGAACAGCAATGGTGGCAGCCCACTCCACTCCTCAGGCACTCTATTTTAGGGGGGAATTAGAACTCTGTCAGCCATAGAACATGGGCGGGGGTAGCTGGAGGCCCCAGCTGGGACAGCCTGCTCAATGAGGAGGAATGGTTTGGGATCCCGTTTAAAAAAGTGGTCTGATCACACCTCAACAAGTAGCACCTCTGCTCCAGTCAGCTTGGACTCTCCAAAGCCTGAAGGCTGGAACGGCTGGGTCATTCAAACAAAGGTGGCAGCCTGCCTCTCCCCCTGAGGCACTCCATCCCAGGGAAAGATCAGAGCTCTGTCTGCAGAATATGGGTGGGGATGGCTGGAGGCCCTGGCTTGGAGGTCCTGCACAATGAGGAGGAATGGATCGGGTCCCACTTTAAGAAGCAGCCTGGCCCTGTGCTGATAAAACAACTGTGCTGTGCTGGGGATTCCTTCCTAGTCAGTACTGTTTGGACTCTCCAAAGCTTGCAGACTGAAATGGCTGAGTTATCCAAATAACAAAGGTGGCATCCTTTTCTTCTCAGGGGCACTCTATTCCAAGAGAGATCAGAGCTCTCTCCATACAGTGAGGGCAGGCAGAGGTGGCTGGGGGCCCTGGCTGAGAGGTCCTGCCCAATGAGGAGGAATGGATCGGGGTCCCACTTAATGAAGCAGCCTGGTCATGTTTAGGTAAAGTAGCTGTGCTGTGCTGGGTGTTCCCTTCCTTGTCAAGACTGTTTGGATTCTCCGAAGCCCACAGGCTAGAATGACTGAGTTGTCCAAACAACTCAGTTTTTTGTAACCGGGTTTTCCAGGTTCTTGGCCTCCCCTGCCCCAGAAATGAGGGAAGAGGCCTGGAGGTGCAGTGGGCTTACCGTTTGTATAAATATTACAGACCCAAAGAGTTTTGCAGACAGCAATTTATTAGGCAGAGAGAGAGACGCAGGGAGAGAACTCTTATGCTGTTGTGGGAGGGGATTCCAGAGAGGGAAATCTGCACAGGTAGAGAGGGAGAGACAGCTCCTACATTGCCATGAGGCAGGGGATCTGAAGAAGGAGTCCGCACAGGTAAGGGGCAGTGGAGTTTTAACTGTGAAGTTATTCCCACCCCATTCATGTTCTTGTCCAATGAGAGGAGTTCTTTTAAACTTCCTCTGGGGTGATTGATTTTTGACTCTGATGCTGGATTGTCTGTTGGGCCCAGAACAGAGGAGCTTTCTCACAGAGCTTCTTGCAGGCTTTTTTTTTTTTTTTTTTAACAAAGGAGCACACCTGAAATTTTACCTAGCCCTTGAGGGAAAGTTAGACAAAGAAATCTAGGCTCCGGGAGAGGGAGGTGGATTGATTCACAGCTGCTATAGAAAAGCCAAAATATAGGGCAGGTTATTTGAAGAATATTATTTGTTTTTGTGTTTTACCAAATTAGTCCTCAGAGAAAAGGAGTTACTTAATGCTATATAGACTAAATGTTTATGTACCCTCAAATTCATATGTTGAAATCCTATCTTCCAAGGTGATGGCATTAGGAGACTGGGTCTTTAGGAGATGATTAGGTCATGAGGGGAGAAACCTGGACGAAACTTCATGAATGGGATTAGTGTCCTTATAAAAGAGACCCAGAGATCTCCCTCACCCCTTCTGCTCTGAAAGACACAACGAGAATACTGCCACTATGAATGAGGAAGCAGGTCCTCACCAGAGACTGAATCTGCTGGCACCTTGATATTGGAGTTCCCAACCTCCAGAACTGTGAGAAATAAATGTTCGTTGTTTATAAGGCACTCACTCTATCATATTCTGCTGTGGCAGCCCAAATGGACTAAGACACTTAATAACCAAGTCCTCTCCAAGACTCTTGTTTGATGGAAGTATTCTTCCAATTATTCTATTTTAATTACAAATTATTTAGGAAAGACAAATTAGCCTGAAAAGATGTCAATTAGAGCTATATTGGAAATCTTAAAAGGTCATCTAACTGAGCTAATAAAAGAGGCAAAGAATTTTAGTACAGATTTGGTAATTACTCTTCCATGTAGGACTTTCAAATTGCAGTGTTGAGATATGGATATAAACAAGATTATTAAGATCAGTTTTTTTATAAAGCAATTCATGTTTGCTTTGCAGAGATAACAAATGTATGTCTTATAGGACAATGAAAAACAATTTTTCTACTGTTTCACAATTGGCTACTTTGTTTTGGAATAAAATTCACAATTAAAGTATCATATGCCACTTCAAAGGTATTTTATCTTAAAAGTTGTTTTATCTCAAAATACTTCAAATTGGAAAAAATTAGATAGTTCAAATAGTGCCTCTTCCAACAATGAAGACTCCTATGTGAAGGTATCAGTGAAGAATTTAAGTAAAAATATTTCTGAAATGAGAAGAAATATTTCAAAATTGACACAGTTTCATAATATTATTCCAAATATTATTGTATAACCAGGTTCATATTAACTAGCTCAAGTAAACATTGACTATTTTGTTAACATCCATTATGCTCATATATTCAAGCTGACCAAAAAGCTTTTTTGAAACTAGAGAACCAGCTCATATTTAGGATTGCCTTTTAATCAGCATATATATTATTTAAAAGGATTAGCTTTCAGTAATTATCCTTGAGTTCAGATTCATAAATAGCATAGTCTGTGTTTATACTAAATTGCTTTCTTTTCCCTTTGTATTATTGTTTGAGAACTAATACACTAACACAGATTTTCATGGAGCAAATGCATCATCAATGTGGTTAATTTCTGAACGCAAGCAACCCAATACAGTACCATATACACAAAGGCCCATTTAACAAAGATTTCACTGAAGTAATTTGGTGGGTCTTACTTAATGCGCATCACAAAGGATTTATGGGATCTTTGGCAAAGAAGGGTTCCTTCTCAATCTGTGGGGTGATGACAGCTAGAAGAGTAAATGCTAGAAGGCCATGGTCAGAACTGCTATCTGGAAAGGACCAGATCTGCTCATTGTATTCTATTGGAAAAGAACAACAGTGCACCCACCTGTGAGAACTCAGGTCATACCATAAGCCCTCTGTGTATTAGCATTTTTATGCTGAACTAGATGATTATGCTTTTTATGCATTTTAATTAAAATATTGTTATATCTCTATTATAATGAAACTAGGGAAAATACAGTTTCTTTTCTTTTTCAATGTAATGTTAACATTTAAAATAAAAAATTGTATTTTGGCTCATAGGCAGTGACTATGTCTACATATTTTATTTGTCCAATTCTTTTTTTTTTTTTTTTTGAGATGGAGTCTTGCTCTGTTACCCAGGCTGGAGTCCAGTGGCATGATCTTGGCTCACTGCAACCTCCACCTTCCAGATTCAAGCAATTCTCCTGCTTCAGCCTCCTGAGTAACTGGGATTACAGACATGCACCACTACACCTGGCTAATTTTTCTGTATTTTTAGTAGAGACATGGTTTCACCATATTGGCCAGGCTGGTCTCCAACTCCTGACCTCAGGTGATCCACCTACCTTGGCCTCCCAAAGTGCTGGGATTGCAGGCATGAGCCACTGTGCCTAGCCAATTTGTCTAATTCTTGGCTTCTTGTTTCCTGGAACAATCATAAATGCACTATTATTCTTTCTCCACAGTGTCCAAAGTGTTAGGAATAGCAGATGGTCAGTAGCTTTCTGTGGAATGACAAAAGCAATTACTTATTTCTGAAAACAAAGGAAAGTATGTTTTCTATTTTCACTAAATGTGACTGGTGACTTACTAATTAAATTTCACTTAGATTTTCACTAAATGTGACTGGTGACTTACTAATTAAATTTCAGTTAGATCACATTATATAATAATTTATTATTCAAAATAAGTAGATATCATTATTCCTCTTTGAAATGAAGAATTAAATTGAAATTGAATAACTGTCCTGAATGAAGATGACTTTTCAAAAAGGCCAGACTAAGATCTCTTTAGAATTGGTATAAGTAACATGAATTAGTATGGCAGTTGATTAGGACAATTAAATAATGTTTCAGGATTAATTAGATATGACCTAGTCTTCCCAGCTATTCTGAATCTTAGTGATATTCTGCTGATACCATTTGTTGAAATATGCCACCCACTTCAACTCTTATTGGTCTCGCTGATAGACTGAGTACTGACAGCACTATTTAATTCTGTGTTATTACTCAACTGTGTCTAAGGTTTATAAGACTTTTGTGGAAATTATATAATTATCCTTCAAGCTCTGGGTAGCTGAATCTTTTACCTTATGGGAACATGCACTGTTGAACAATGAAAATATTTAAAAGGTGGTTAAAGTTTAATAAACTGCCCAGTCAATGAGATGAGTGTCTTTAGAGATAATTTCCCTTGCCAGATTTTAGAAGTAATATAAAATTTATTTTCAAATATTTATCTGCAAAGACTTTTCAGGTCCACTTACATCAAGGAGATACCATGGAAACTCCAAGAAAAATAGATTCAAATATTTGGAGGCTTCAGGGATTGTGTTGTTATTTGCTTTGGGGGCAAAGAAAAGCATTCTAGAAAAGGCACCAAATTACAAAAAGTAATGTGTTATCTAAATTTGCTTGGAAAAGAAAATAAAAAGGGTATTTCCTGCTGTTTTGATGATTATTTATCTTAATTGCATGGCCTTCTGGAATTCCAAGGCCATATTATAAACAAGGAGAATAGCTGATAAAACACATGTATTTGGGATAAACCACTGCTCAAAAATAAAGCTGATAGTATCTCTCTCACTTTTGTTTATAACAATGATTAGATGAACCTGCTTGTTATTGAATTTAACAAAAAAAAATCATGTTTACCTACTAATATCCAGAATAAGGGATACAAGATGGCTAAGACAGTCTGCCTCTGGCAATAGGGCAGTCAGGTTTTGTTTTTTGTTTTGTTTTTAAACTTTCCCGCAACCAAATACTTAGATACCAGATAAATTTCACAAAAGTTCATTTTAAGCGTGTAGTAGACATCACATAAGAGTAAGCGAATACCTAGGGATCTTACATAAAGAGGGGATTAAAGAGCTAGTCTAGCTCTGAAGCCTCCGCTGACCTAAAGGTATTTGATTAGTAAAAGCTAGAGCTTTGTTTCTTTAATTCTTCTTCTTCTTGTTCTATAGAATTGATTTATCAGTAAGCACCCTGAAAGTCTACATTTGTTTCAGTTTTCATGTTTACAGACAAAGAGCTTCTCTCCCTGATATTAGAATCTCCTTCAACTCCACCAGAGTTCCACATATGCTCAAGTGCAGAGGCTGGTTCATGGGACTCTGCCCATAGCTTCCCTCTGGACCCATAGGGATGAGGTCGTGGTTCCCCAAAGTAAATCTAAACAAGATATTCCTTGGAGATTTTTTTTGGTACATCTGTTGCTGGACTCTGTCATGGAAACTGATGGAAAACTCCTAGAGAGCTATAAATATTCAACAAAATATTTACATAGAAAGTAGCCAGTTTTCTTCCATTTGATAGCAATCTTCAAACATAAGTGCTGCCATATAAAAGGTGACATATACCCTTCACCAAACTATTGAAAAGAACTGAATTTGTATGGAACATTGCAAATTAAGATATGAGATGTGGGTTGTGCTAAATGGCTTTTAAGGAATAATCAGCTAATAGTCTAAGTCTTTTTCAAGGAAGATATGTGTTGGCCAAACACAGCTTAAACAGTTCTTCTGTAGGCCAATTTCAGAGTATTAATACATGTTCATACTCATGCATCAGCGCCAACTTCCTTTAACAATATAAGAAGATATATTTTTTAGGGTGCTAACCAAACACTTCAATTTAAGCAATGATATTTATTACTAAGGGTCAAACTGTACAATTTGTCTTATGACTATCACATCCACATGATCCTATTACACACCTCTTCCCAATTACTTTCATCATACACGAAATAGTTTTATTTTTGTTCTTTACCCAAAAATGCTATGAAAATACAACCTGACTTCACGTGGTTTTTAAATCACAATTCCTGATTTATTTCTATATTTAATATAAGATTTCCCAGTAGTTATTCCACTGTCAAAGACTTTAGTTCCTTTTAGTGACATGGCACCCACTGAAAACTGACTATTCCTATGCAAAAACACCTCAAATACAGTAAAAATAACCTTGAATTGTAATGACTGTTCTGGAACAAAAAGGAAAGACTTTTGGCCTGAACAAAGCTGATTTAGATTCCAGGCCTCAACAAACATTAGTACACTCAAAGGACTATACTCTTTTGCTCTGGGTAGAAAAGAAGAATAAAAACTGCAAACTCTCACCTGAGAATCTTTACTTGTTTATTTTCATTTTTATTTTTTTGAGACAGAGTCTTGCTCTGTTGCCCAGGCTGGAGTGCAGTGGTGTAATCTCTCCTCACTGCAACCTCCACCTCCTGGGTTCAAGCAATTCTCCTGCCTCAGCCTCCCAAGTAGCTGGGATTATAGGCATCCACTACCACGCCTGGCTAATTTTTGTATTTTTAGTAGAGACAAGGTTTCTCCATGTTGGCAAGGCTGATCTCAAATTCCTGACCTCAGGCCATCCACTCGCCTCAGCCTGCCTAAATGCTGGGATTACAGGCGTGAGCCACCACACCCCACCGGGATCCTCAATAATACCCCCTACTTGGATTTATGATTCAAATTATACCACCTGCAGCATCCAGGAAATCCTGAACATTTAAAAGAATGCCAGATTGGTAATATCTTGGAGTACCTGGTTAAAGCACCAAAAAATTGGAGATTTGAAATTATCAAATAGATAATAAAAAATAAATGTTATAGAAGCCAAGTGTCCATTTCAATGTGATTCCTCCAAAGGTGTCAAAAATATGAAGAGCTCATAGTCAAGGACCAGAAGGTTTCAGAAAGGAATCAAATGTGCAACTTCTAAAGCTTAAAACATTATCACTGAAATCAATTCAGTAGATGGGCTAAACAGCAGAACAGACACAGTCAAAGAGCAATTTATTGAAAGCAAAGACAGAACTGAAGAAATTACACATATAATAGAATAAAGAGGCAAAAAGACAGAAATCATAAAAGAGAGATTAAGAATCATGGAGGATAGAATAAGAAAATTTGATATAACTTGGAGTTCCTGAAAGAGAGCATGAATAGAAAGGGAAGAGACAATATTTCAAAATATAAGAGTTAAGCCACTGAATTTACAATGGTGAATTTTATGTTATGTGAATTTCCAGGATGGATTAAAGGCATGCATCCTTCAGACTCAGGAAGCACATCAAATCCCAAGTAGGATGAATAAAAAGAAATGTACTACTGAGACACCAGCTGGGGCAGCTAAGGGAGTGCTAGCATCACCCTTCCCCTCACCCCAGGCTGCATAGCTTGTAGCTCCGAAATAGACCCCTTCCTTTGCTTGAGGAGAGGAGAGGGAAGAGTGGGGCGGATTTTGTTTTGCATCTTGGATACCAGCTAAGCCATAGCAGGACAGGGCACCAGACAGAGTCATGAGGCCCTCGTTCGAGGCCCTAACTCCCAGACAACATTTCTAGGCAAACCGTGGGCCAGAAGGGAACTTGCTGCCTTGAACGAAAGGAGCTAGTCCTGGCAGCATTCATCACCTGCTAACTGAAGAGCCCTTGGTCCCTGAATAACTGACAACAATACCCAGATACTACATCAAGGGCCTTGGGTGAGCCTCGGAGATATGCTGGCTTCAAGCACCAGCGTGGGCACAGCAGGGAAGAGAGCAAGTGGGTTCTTGGGGTCCCCAATTCTAGGACTTGATTCTTGGAAGGCACTTCTAGAGCTGCTCTGGGCAAGAGGGAAGCCCACTGCCCTGAAGGGTGAGTCCCGAGCCAGGCAGCATTCACCACAGCTGACTTAGGAGCCCTTGGGCCTTAAGGAAACATTGGCTGGTAGTCTAATAGGACCCCTCATGGCCTGTGGTGATGGTGGCTACTGGGTGAGGCTACTCTGCCTTTGGAAAAGGGAAGGAAGAGTGGGAAGGACTGTGTCTTGTGGTTTGAGTGCCAGCTCAACCACAATACAGTAGAGTAGCAGGTAGACTTCCAAGGTTTTTGACTCTAGTCCCTGACTCCTGGATAGTACCTCTGAACCCACTTGGGGCTAAGGGACCTCAGTGCCCTGAAGGGAAGGACAAAGGCCTGGCAGGCTTTGCTACCTGCTGATTGGAGAGCCCCAGAGCCTCCAGTGAACACAGGCAGAAGCCAAGGAGTCATTACAGTAGGCTGTGGGTAAGACCCAGCTTCAGGTCTGACCCAGTGCAGTCATAGAGGGTATGGCCACAGGGGTGCTTGTGTCACTCAACCCTAGCTTTAGGTGGCTCAGAACAGAAAGAGAGAGAGAGAGAGAGAGAGAGAGAGAGAGACTCTGTTTGGGAGAAAGTAAGGAAAGAGAACAAGAGTCTCTGCCTGGTAATCCAGAGAATTATCCTGGATCTTGTCTAAGATCATCAAGATAGTACCTCTATGAGTCTATAAGAGCTATATTGTTACTGGGCTTGGGGAGCTCCCTAAAGTAGATACATGTTAGATCACAACACCCAAGTCCTTTCAAATAGGATGGAAACCCTTCCCAAAAGGATGGCTACAAATAAGCCTAGACACTGATGACTACAATAAATACCTAACTCTTTAACGGCCAGACACCAAAACCATCCAGGAAAACATGACCTTGCCAAATGAACTAAATAAGCCATCAGGGGCCAATCCTGGAGAAACAGATATGTGACCTTTCAAACAGAAAATTTAAAATAGCTATTTTGAGGAAACTCAAAGAAATTCAAGATAACAGAAAGAATTCAGAATTCCATCAGATAAATCTAACAAAGAGATTCAAATAATCAAAAACAATCAAACAGAAATTCTGGAGCTGAATAATGCAATTGGCATACTGAAGGATGTATCAGAACCCTTAAATAGCAGAATGGATCAAGCAGAATAAAGAATTAGTGAACTTGAAGACAGGCTATTTGAAAATACACAGTCAAAGGAGACAAAAGAAAAAAGAATAAAAAACAATGAAGCATGCCTATAGGCCTCTTTAAGGCCATTAACTCTTAGATTTGCCCTCTAGTGGCTAAAAATAAAAATCTAAAAATAGCCACAAATGGACAAATCTAAGAGCTACTGGCATTAAAGAGGTAGTACAGAAAGAGAAAGAAAGTTTATTCAAAGGGATAACAACAGAGGCCTTTTAAAACCTGTGGAAATATATCAATATCCAAGTACAAGAAGGTTATAGAACACCAAGCAGATTTAATCCAAAGCATACTACCTCAAGGCATTTACTAGTCAGACTCCCAAAGGTCAAGAATAAAGAAAGAATCCTAAAAGCAGCAAATGAAAGAAACACAAATAACATACAATGAAGCTCCAATACATCTGACAGCAGACTTTTCATCGGAAACCTTACAGGCCAAGAGAAAGAGGTAAAGTGCTAAAGGACAAAAACAACAACAACAACAACAACAACAAAAAAAAAAACTTTTAACCTAGAATAGTGTATCTGGTGAAAATATACTTAGACATGAAGGGGAAATAAAGATGTTCCCAGACAAAACAAAAGTTGAGGGATTTCATCAATACCAGACCTGTCCTACAATAAAGGCTAAAAAAAAGTACTTTAATTAGAAAGAAAAAAAATTAATGAGCAATAAATAATCACTTGAAGGTGTAAAACTCACTAGTAGTAGTAACTATACAAAGCTGGGGTGGCTGGCAAGATGGCTCATTAGGAACTCCTCTTATCTGTAGCTCCCAGTGAGATCAATGCAGAAGGCAGGTGATGTCTGCATTTCCAACTGAGGTACCCATCTCATCTCATTGGGACCAGTTAGACAGTGGGTGTAGCCCAAGGAGGGTGAGCAGAGGCAGGGTGGGGCATTGCCTCACCCAGGAAGCACAAGGTGTAGGGGAACTCCCTCCCCTAGCCAAGGGAAGCCATAAAGGACTGTGCCACGAGGAACTGTGCACTCTGACCCAAATACTATGCTTTTCCTATGGTATTCACTACCCAGAGACCAGGATATTTCACTGGGTGCCTACACCACCAGGGCCCTGTGTTTCAAGCACAAAACTGTGCAGCCATTTGGGCAGACACTGAGCTAGCTGCAGGAGTTTTTTTTTCATACCCCATTGGCATCTGGAACACCAGCGAGACAGAACAGTTCACTCCCCTGGAAAAGGGCTGAAGTCAGGGAGCCAAGTGATCTAGCTAGTGGATCGCACACCCACAGAGCCCAGCTAGCTAAGATCCACTGGCTTGAAATTCTCACTGCCATCACAGCAGTCTGAAATCAACTTGGGATGCTTGAGCTTGGTGGGGGCAGGGGTGTCTGCTGTTACTGAGGCTTGAGTAGATAGATGGTTTTCCCTTCACAATGTAAACAAAGCTGCCAGGAATTTCAAGCTGGGCGGAGCCCACTGAAGCTTGGCTAAGCCCTTGTAGCTAGACTGCCTCTCTAGATTCCTCTTCTCTGGGCAGGGCATCTCTGAAAGAAAGGCAGCAGCCCCAGTCAGGGACTTATAGATAAAACTCCCATCTCCCTGAGACAGAGAACCTAGAGGAAGGGAAAAATGTGGGCACAGCTTCAGCAGATGTAAACATTCCTACCTGCCAGCTCTGAAGATAGCAGCAAACCTCCCAACACAGTGCTCGAGCTCTGCTAAGAGATAGACTGCCTCTTCAAGTGGGTCCCTGACCCCCATGCCTCCTTACTGGGAGACACCTCCCAGCAGGGGTGGACAGACACCTCATACAGGAGAGCTCCAGCTGGCATCTGGTGGGTGCTCCTCTGGTGTGAAACTTTCAGAGGGAGCAGGCAGCAATCTTTGCTCTTTTGTAGCCTCTGCTGGTGACAACAAGGCAAATAGAGTCTGGAGTGGACCTCCAGCAAACTCCAGCAGACCTGCAGCAGAGAGTCCTGATTGTTAGAGGGAAAACTCCAAACAGAAAGGAAGAGCATCAACATCAACAAAAAGGACATTCACAGAGAAACTCTATACAAAGGTTACCAACATCAAAGACCAACATCATGGTAGATAAACCCATGAAGATGAGGAAAAACCAGCATTAAAAGACTGAAAATTCCAAAAATCAGAATGCTTCTTCTCTTCCAAAGGATAACAACTCCTCGTCAGCAAGAAAACAAAACTAGACATAGAATCAGTTTGATGAATTAACAGAAGTAGATTTCAAAAAATTCATAATAACAAACTCCTTCAAGCTAAGGGAACATGTTCTAACCCAATTCAAGGAAGCTAAGAACATTGAAAAAAGATTAGAGGAATAGCTAACTAGAATAACCAGTTTAGAGAAGAATATAAATGACCTGATGAAGCTGAAAAACACAGCACAAGAACTTTGTGAAGCATACACAAGTATCAATAGCTGAATCAATGAAGTGGAAGAAAGGATATCAGAGATTGAAGATCAACTTAATGAAATAAAGTGTAAAGACAAGATTAGAGTAAAAAGAATAAAAAGGAATGAAAAAATCCTCCAAGAAATATGGGACTATGTGAAAAGACCAAACCTACATGTGATTGATGTACCTGAAAGTGACTGGGAGAATGGAGCCAAGTTGGAAAACACTCTTCAGGATATTATCCAGGAGAACTTCCCAACCTAGAAAGACAAGCCAACATTCAAATTTAGGAAATGCAGAGAACACTACAAAGATACTCCTTGAGAAGAGGAACTCCAATACACATAATCATTGGATTTGCCAAGGTTGAAATGAAGGAAAAAAATTTTAAGGGCAGCCAGAAAGAAAGGTCAGGTTACCCACAAAGGGAAGCCCATCAGACTACCAGCAGATTTCTCAGCAGAAACCCTACAAGCCAGAAATGAGTGGGGGCCAATATTCAACATTTGTAAAAAAAAGAATTTTTTCAACCCAGAATTTCATATCCTGAAACTAAGCTTCACAAATGAAAGAGAAATAAAATTCTTTACAGACAAGCAAATGCTGAGAGATGTTGTCACCACCAGGCCTGCCTTACAAGAGCTCCTGAAGGAAGCACTAAATATAGAAAGGAAAAACCAGTACCAGGCACTGCAAAAACATACCAAATTGCAAACACCATTGATACTATGAAGAAACTGCATCAACTAATGGGCAAAATAACCAGCTAGCATCATAATGACAGGATCAAATTCACATATAACAGTATTAACCTTAAATGTAAACAGGCTAAATGTCCCAATTAAAGGACACAGACTGGCAAATTGGATAAAGAGTCAAGACCCATTGGTATGCTGTTTTCTGGAGACCTATCTCACCTGCAAAGACGCATACAGGCTCAAAATAAAGGGATGGAGGAATATTTACCAAGGAAAAAAAAATAGGTGGAAATCCTTGTCTCTGATAAAGCAGACTTTAAACCAACAAAGACCAAAAAAGTCAAAGAAACGCATTACATAACGGTAAAGGAATCAATGCAACAAGAAGAGCTAACTCTTCTAAATATATATGCACCAAATACGGAAGCATCCAGATTCAGAAAGCAAGTTCTTAGAGACCTACAAAGAGACTTAGACTCTCACACAGTAATAGTGGGAGACTTTAACACCCCACTGTCAATATTAGATCAACAAGACAGAAAATTAACAATATTCAGGACTTGAACTCAGCTCTGGACCAAGTGGATCTAACAGACATCTACAGAACTCTCTACTCCAAACACACAGAATATACATTCTCCTCAGTACCACATCACACTCGTTCTAACATCAACCACATAACTGGAAGTAAAACACTCCTCAGCAAATGCAAAAGAACAGAAATTATAACAGTCTCTCAGACCACGGTGTAATCATATTAGTAGTCAGGATTAAGAAACTCACTCAAAACCACACAACTACATGGAAACTGAATAGGCTGTTCCTGAATGACTACTGGATAAATAACAAAATTAAGGTAGAACTAAATAAGTTCTTTGAAACCAATGAGAACAAAGACACAACTTACCAGAATCTCTGGGACACAGCTAAAGCAGTGTTTAGAGGGAAATTTATAGCACTAAATGCCCACAGGAGAAAGAAGGAAAGATCTAAAATCGACATCCTAACATCACAATTGAAAGAACTAAAGAAGCAAGAGCAAAGAAATTCAAAAGCTAGCAGAAGACAAGAAATAACTAAGATCAGTGCAGAACTGAAAGAGAAAGAGACATGAAAAATCTTCAAAAAATCAATGAATCCAGGAGCTGGATTTTTTTAAAAGATTAACAAAATAGACCACTAGCTAGACTAATAAAGAAGAAAAGAGAGAGGAATCAAATAGACAAAATAAAAAATGATAAAGGGGATATCAGCATTGATTCCACAGAAATACAAACTACCATCAGAGAATACTAGAAACACCTCTATGCAAATAAACTAGAAAATCAAGAAGAAATGGATAAATTCCTGGACACATACATCTTCCCAAGACTAAACAGGAAGAAGTCAAATCCCTGAATAGATCAATAACAGTTTCTGAAATTGAGGAAGTAATTAATAACCTATCAACCAATAAAAAGCCCTGGACCACACAGATTCACAGCCAAATTCTACCAGAAGTACATAGAGGAGTTGGTACCATTCCTTCTGAAACTATTCCAAACCATAGAAAAAGAGAAACTCCTCCTTAACTCATTTTATGAGGCCAGCATCATCTTAATACTGAAACCTGACAGAGACACACACACAAAAAAAGAAAATGTCAGGCCAATATCCCTGATGAACACTGATGCAAAAATCCTCTATAAAATACTGGCAAACCTAATCCAGCAGCACATCAAAAGGCTTACCTACCATGATCATGTCGGCTTCATTCCTGGGATGCAAGGCTGGTTCAACATATGCAAATCAATAAACATAATACATCACATAAGAACCAATGACAAAAACCACATGATTATCTCAATCAATGCAGAAAAGGGGCTTCGATAAATTTCACCACCCCTTCATGATAAAAAACTCTCAGTGAACTAGGTATGATGGAATATATCTCAAAATAATAAGAGCTATTTATGACAAACCCACAGCCAATATCATACTGAATGGGCGAAAGCTGGGAGCATTCCCTTTGAAAACTGGCACAAGAGAAGAATGTCCTCTCTCACCACTCCTATTCAACATAGTATTGGAAGTTCTGACCAGGGCAATCAGGCAACCAAAAGAAAGAAAGAGCATTCAAATAGGAAGAGAGGCAGTCAAATTGTCTCTGTTTGCAGATGACATGACTGTATATTTAGAAAACCCCATCGTCTCAGCCCAAAATCTCCTTAAGCTGATAAGCAACTTCAGCAAAGTCTCTGGATACAAAATCAATGTGCAAAAATTACAAGCATTCCTATACACCAAAGAGCCAAATCATGAGTGAACTCCCATTTACAATTGCTACAAAGAGCATAAAATACTTAGGAATATTACTTACAAAGGATGTGAAGGACCTCTTCAAGGAGAACTACAAACCACTTCTCAAGGAAATAAGAGAGGACACAAACAGATGGAAAAACTTTCCATTCTCATGACTGAGAAGAATAAATATCATGAAAATGGCCATACTGACCAAAGTAATTGGTAGATTCAATGCTATCCCCATCAAGCTACCATTGACTTTCTTCACAGAATTAGAAAAAAATAATACTTTAAATTTCATATGGAACCAAAAAATAGCCCATATAGCCACGATAATCTGAACCCAAAAGACAAAGCTGAAGGCATCACACTACCTGACTCCAAACTCTACTACAAGGCTACAATAACCAAAACTGCATGCTACTGGTACCAAAACAGCTATGCAGACCAATGGAACAGAACAGAGGCCTCAGAAATAACACCACACATCTACAATCACCTGATCTTTGTCAAACCTGACAAAAACAAACAATGAGGAAAGGATTCCCTACTTAATAAATGGCGTTGGGAAAACTGGCTACCCATATGCAGAAAACTGAACTGGACTCTTTCCTTACACCTTACACTAAAATTAACCTAAGATGGATTAGAGACTTAAATGTAAGCCCTAAAACCATAAAACCCCTAGAAGAAAGCTAGGCAATACCATTCAGGATATAGGCATGGCCAAAGACTTCATGACTAAAACACCAAAAGCAACGGCAACAAAAGCCAAAATTGACAAATGGAATCTAATTAAACAAAAGAGCTTCTGCACAGCAAAAGTAACTATCATCAGAGTGAACAGGCAACCTACAGAATGGGAGAACATTTTTGCAATCCATCCATCTGACAAAGGGCTAATATCCAATATCTACAAAGAACTTAAATAAATTTACAAGAAAAAATATCCCATCAAAAGGTGAGCAAACAATATGAACAGACACTTCTCAAAAGAAGATATTTATGTGGCCAAAAAACATATGAAAAAAAGCTCATCATCACTGTTTATTAAAGAAATGCAAATCAAAACCACATTGAGATACCATCTCATGCCATTTAGAATGGTGATCATTAAAAAGTCAGGAAACAACAGATGCTGGAGAGGATGTGGAGAAATAGGAACACTTTTACACTGTTGGTGGGAATTTAAATTCGTTCAACCATTGTGGAAGACAGTGTGGCCATTCCTCAAGGATCTAGAACAAGAAATATCATTTGACCCAGCAATCCCATTACTGGGATTATAAATCATTCTACTATAAAGACACATGCACATGTATGTTTATTGCAGCCCTCTTCACAATAGCGAAGACTTGGAACCAACCTAAATGCTCATCAATGATAGACTGAATAAAGAAAATTTGGCACATATACACTATGGAATACTATGCAGCCATAAAGAGTATGAGTTCATGTCCTTTGCAGGGACATGGATGAAGCTGGAAACCATCATTCTCAGCAAACTAACACAGAAACAGTAAACCAAACACCACATATTATCACCCATACGTGGAAGGTGAACAATGAGAACACATGGACACAGGGAGGGAAACATCACACACCAGGGCCTGTCCAGGGTTAGTGTTGGGGGTAAGGAAGGGATAGTATTAGGAGAAATATCTAATGCAGATGACAGTTTGATCGGTGCCATAAACCACCATGGCACATGTATACCTATGTAACAAACACACCTATTTGAGGAATGGCAATAAAGAAGGGTTTATGTGTGAATGAACAAAAGAAAAAGAAAGAAAGAAAGAGAGAGAGGAAGGAAGGAAGGGAGGAAGGAAGGAAGGAAGGAAGGAAGGAAGGAAGGAAGGAAGGAAGGAAGGAAGGGACAGTGGAGTGAGAAACACTTTTTAAAATTTGTTGCCCCACAGTCTGAGTCATATCCCTCTAATGTTCTTTATCAACTAAAAATAAAGAATGTACTCACTTTTTAAAACTTCTCTGGCTGCTGAATTCTGCCTCTGGAACATGACTTTGCTCTGAAAATAAGCAGATAATCCCTAGATGTATAAGAGTTGCATTATCATGATCATTGTTGTTATTATCAGTATTTATGCATATATTCGGAGCCCAGCACCTTAGCCCAGGAGATCGACACTACAGGATGAAGGAGTAAAATTGTCTCCATGGCCAATAACATTTTACTATTTAGAAATACTATTCTGGTTTACATGGCCTGGCATCTTTCAAAAGAGTTGAATTTCTCCCCTGGTCTTTAGTGCCAGGGGCTCCAGCTGGACAAAGTATGTTGGTCATTAAGCATCCTCTCTGGAAAACAAGTATGTGTCTGGACTTAACGGTGGTGGGACTCACTCACTATGTGGGGAGAGAGCATACTTCTGGAGAATCCTACTATCTCATAAGCGGTAAAGGCAAGAAAGGACTTGACAGCTATTCTCTCCCTAGGCTACCTCCCTTGCCTTCTCTGAGACTATGTCATACCACAAGGGATCAATCCTTAATGCTAATTGTCTCAGCAACTCCATGGTAAGTGTATACCGTTACATCACAAATTGCAAAAAGTCTAATCTAGATTTACCAAACAGATAAGAACAACAGTTTCAGCTTTGAATGGATCCAATTCTTAGTAGCTTCTCGGAGGAGTTGTGTTTTTGAACAGCTTCAACTGTTTAAAGGCCGTTATCTTCTTGACTATCCATCAAAAAGTTAAAAACAATCAAACCTCTGTTTGATTTTGCTCAAGGTTACAATTAAGTGAAAAGCTAAATTTAGAACAGAAACAAAACCAAGAAGCAGATCAGTTCACAAAAGTCACATAATATCATCAGCTCTATAAATAAATAATATTCCTGGCCAGAGTAACTAATTAGGAAGTATCTATCTTTGCATTATAAATGGCAATAGAAATAAATCAGACATTTACACATACAAAAAGAATGACCACTCTCATGCCTCTATCTAATTAAGAAATTAAACATAGCTGGGCACAGTGGCTCACACCTCTAATCCTAACACTTTGGGAGGCTGAGGCAGGTAGATCATTTGAGCCCAGGAGTTCAAGACCACCCTGGGCAACATGGCAAAATCTCGTCTCCACAAAAAATAAAAAAATTAGTTGGGTGTGGTGGTGGGCACTGTAGTTCTAGCTATTCAGGGGGCTGAGATGGGAGCCCAGGAGGTCACTGCTGTGGTAGCCCAGCACCTGAGCCCAAGAGGTTGATGCTGTGTTGAGTTCCCACTACACTCCAGCCTGAGTGACAGAGAGTAAGATCCTATCTTAAAAAAATAAACAAGTAAATTTAAAAAACATAATAAATTTACAAAAATTATTATTCTGGTCTCCACCAATCTATACTAGTAGAAGACACAGAGTAACACTATAGCTCCTGCCCACAGTCATAATTCACAACACAGCTTCTACAGTCAAGGTAACGCATCGAATAACTTTTTTGTGACAGTAGAATCTCTTTAGTAAGTGTATTAGTTCATTTTCACACTGCTGATAAAGACATACCCAGGACTGGGTAATTTATACAGGAAAAAGGGTTTAATGGACTTATAGTTCCATGTGGCTGGGAGGCCTCACAATCATGGCGGAAGGCAAGGATGAGCAAGTCACGTCTTACACGGATGGTAGCAGGCAAAGAGAGAGCTTGCACAGGGCAACTCTCCCTTGTAAAACCATCAGATCTCATGAGACTTACTCACTATTACAAGAACAGCTTGGGAAAAACCTGCCCCTGTGATTCAATTACCTCCCACCAGGTGCCTCCCACAACACATGGGAATTCAAGATGCGATTTGGGTGGGGACACAACCAAATCATATCAGCAAGATATTATAGATATTCATTGAAATGTGAAATGTCAAAAATATCATTAGTGAGCAGCTTTTAAAAAAAATTATTTGATATAGTCAAGCTGTTTTAAAGGAAGAGTTGAAGTTCTATCTACGCTAGTGAGACCTGAAGCTCAGTCATCTTCACCCTAGATTCACACATATACACATACATGCAGAAACATACCACATGCTACAAACATATGTGCAACTCAAAAACAAAAGTTGTAGATAACTGTGAATGGGAAAGAAATGCCTAATGCCTGCCAGGGTCAAGAGTGGGCTAAACTTGGTAGGGCTGAGATAGGTGGCTGGCTTCAGCAAGCAGTTTGCAAATGAAAATTAGGTCTTTTTGACACCAGAGGTGAAATTACCCAGACCCATCAATCAACAGCAACAGCAGCAGCCTTCTGCTTCAGGCCTCCTAAGTCATTTTTCTTCCTGCCAAATGCCAAGACCCTCTGTGTGGGCAGAAAGCGAGATGGGAAGGAGCAGGCAGGTAGCAGAAGGCAGTGCTGAAGAACAGATCTTGTTTCCTCACCTTGAGAGAGGACTGCTAATAAGCCCTCATAATTGTTAATTAGTTTTAATGTTGGCACTCTAACAGAGATTAAGTCATATAAGTATCTTTTAAAAATCGGTTACAGTTTTTATTTAATACAAATAACCACTCTTTCCTCTTTATGTGCCATACCACACACTTCCCAGGATAATTTATTCTACAGATCTCTCTTAGAAGACAAGAACCTAAGAACAAATTTCAAAGAGGATTCATTGAAAAGCATTTTCTATAGTTGGTATAAAGTTGTTCTATGTAAATAAGAACTGTCTACCCAAATATCACAAAATAAATCTGTTTACAAAATCCTTTCTTCTACAATTTCAGGCTCATATACTGCTCAGGGCAAAGATGGAAACTTGGTACAATTATGCTATGCTGCAACTCTATTAGCATTAACTAAATGCACTGCAAAGGCTCCACCTTGTCACCCTGAGTTGAGTGGACTCTCAACCTTCATTGTGTGCATGTGTTTTCTGAGTGTTGCTGGGTTTTGGGCTGCAGGGCCATGCTTAGCTCCCCTGAGAGGACATTTCTCCAGGCTCTTGGTCTTTCACTCACCTAAGAATGGGAGAGGAGACCATGGCACAGTGTGCTCGTAAAGTAAATACCGGACTCAAAAAGTTTTTGTAAAAAAGTGATTTATTTAGGCAGAGAGAGCAAAAGGAAAAAGAGAGAGAAAGCAGCAGCTAGCTCTCACAGAATGAGAGAAAGAAAAGCCACTCTCACGCTGAGTGAGAAGGGTTCCCAGAGGGGGAAAACCAGAGAAGGAAAGCTCCTCTCACACTGAGTGAAAGAATCCAGAAAGATAGAATCCAGGAGAGGAAAGACAGCTTCCACATTGGATGGAAGGGGACCCCAGAGGGGGAATTTCAGGAGAGAAAAAGACAGTTTCCATGAAGGGAGTGTTCAAGGGGATCCAAACATGGAGTCCAAAGAGTTGTGGAAGAAGGGGACTTTAAACCTGGGAGGAATTCCTACCTACTCCAAGACCCCTGGCCAATGAAAGGAGTTCTTTGAACTTCCACTGGAGTGACTGACCTTTGGTTCTTGCAAAAATTTAAAACAAAGACCATTAAATCTCCCGGATGGAAAGGCATGGGATGGGGGCATGGCGCTGGGAAGTTCTTGCCCTTAAAACTACACCCCCCCTAGTGGACCTGGGAAGAGAACACATTCCCTCACGGGCATGCAGAATTTCTGGTAAAGAGTTTTGGACTACAATGACTGGGGGATTTAAATGGGAATGTGTGCTGGTGGGAGTTCTTAATCTGCCACAAAAATGAAACTAAACAAAGGGGAAATGTCATGCTAGATGTTAAAATGCAAGTTATACAGCGGCTTGAAATCCTTGCAATGAAATAGGGAACCAATAAATCAGTAGGCAATCAATTAGTAATAGATGGAAAGTGCTTTGCCACAAAGAAAAACACCACTGCCATCTCAAATTGGTGACAACTACAAACAGTGGAGGGAAGAAACTATTGCCTGAGGAGCATCATGACTTTAAGGGATCAGATGAGAACATACATTGGAGATACTGATCACATATATATACAGAACATACACACATAGAGAAGATACACACAGAACACACACTGGAGTCTCCTTGGAAGCTGTGATACAAAGTAGTACAGGTATTGATCGACTTAACGACCTATGCAACTTACGACCATTTGACTTTACGACCACAATCGCTAGCCACGACTGCTCCGCGTCTAGCAGTGCAAACGTTGCCCAGCTGGGCGTACGACAGTGTGGACCAGCTTCCGGCAGCACTACCATCTCCGCGTGCATTTAGCCTACTCAACTTTCGACCAAATCGTGTTACGACCAGTCTGTCAGAGCCAATCGTGGTCGTAAGTCGAGCACTAGCTGTAGTTTTCAAATTGTGGTCCCAGACTGGCAACATCTGTGTTACTTGGAACCTGTAAGAAATGTTAATTTTGGTACTCCACCTTATTTAGCAACTTTAAAACTCTGGGTTGATGCCCAGCAAAATGCATTTTAACAAATCTTCCAGGTGATTTTAATGACTACTAAAGTTTGAGAATCACTGGAATTATGTTTCAGTTAGCCTTTCATTTCTAGCTGCTTCATCTACATGCAAGGGGTGTGTGTGCACACGTGTGCATATGTGTGTGTGTGTCTGGTGTATGTCTAAAATGTTTTAAAAGGATATTAATCTTTAAATTTTTGCTTGTTTTAATCCAGTGCTGTTAAGAGAAGAAATAAGAAATACAAAACTGGGGTCAATAAGTAGAAATAAGTGAGCTAAAATGATAGAAAAAGACTAACAGAAAGATAAACAAATAATTCTTTATCTCTTTGGTAATAGTCAAGTGTGAGCCCCTTGAAATTCTACTGACGTAAAAATTGTATTTGTTTTCATTTGGAAGGAGCCTTTGGAACCTCTGCTGCCACCTTCTCATTTTACAGGTGAGGACCTGAACGGGGTAAGGTTTTACTGACCTGCCAGGTTAGACGGCAAGCTCAGGATCCTGGGTCTGAGGAAGAGAGATCTCAGATAAAAGTTTATATTGAGTAGATATTCTTGGTTTGGGAGAAAAATAAAGTGATTATCCACATTTTTTGAAGTTATGTGAATCATTTGTCTTCCTC